TTAACTATGTTTGGCGACAACCTACTATTATAATATGGATTTTCTGACAAGTACCCACACTGTCACATAGAAACTATAATAATATGTAATATAATGATAGAGAATTATGTGAGAGACATTATCTTGTAATTTGGCACTCGATTTTAAATCAAATAAATCAATAAATGTAGCTAGTAAAATGTTACGACACGATATTAAAAAGTTTTATTTTTTTTTGTAATTTTTTTATATCCAAAAACACTATTCTGCAATAGGTATTTGAGTATTTCGTTATTTCACGATTATAAGAGTCAAGCAAAGGTACGTGCCACGTGGGACGTTTTTTAAACACAATGAATTATCATAACAAACGACTTCAAAAACAATTATTATACTTTTCTTTTAATAAAATAAGACCTATTCCAAATATTGATTGACCAAACATATTCAGTATACATAATATTAATATGTATACACCATGTCACCATTATAGAATAAGGAACGACTTCAAATGTGGTCCACAGTAAATTATTCAATATTACCTCCGACTTTGAAGTTTGTACAACAGCATCATATTATATGGAGTTCATTAACAGTGTTGGGAAAAGATGACCAAAAAATCATTTGGATAAGATAACAGACAATTCATTCAAAATTCATCTAGATAAGATAAAATATAAAATCATTTTTTTTTATCTAGATAAAAATACACACACATTTATCTACATGAAATATAGGTACATAATTTGTTTGTAAATTATATTATAAATAATGAAATTATAAAAAAAAATTGTGCTTGTGTATTTTAAATATGCAGTTAGACCTACCGTACTTGCCACGCAGAGTTTATAATATAACTCTTCGATTCCACTAGCGAATTTTGCCACACTTTCTACTTCGGCCATACGTGCCGTGTTTAAAGCTATTGATAGGGCCCTCTCCGATACTTTTTATTCGAATGCCCCCTCTAATATTGATTTTATTGATCCCCATGTTTCTAAGTTTCGATATTTCGTTACTTCTAACGCATTTCCTGGCAACTTGGAAGTAATTATTTTTAATAATATCGGTGTTTCTGCTTCCGTTGTCTCCTTAAGTGCGATTTTTTTGCCCGTGCAAATAGGTATCGTAGCAGTTGCTTTATCTAAATCCATTTTACTCGTTATTTTTTTTCTAACCACTGGTTCTAATTACGCTTGAGTCTGACCTAGTACCTGAGCGACCTACGAATTGTTCCTTTTTTCTTGGCATGATACCTATCTGTACTGTTAAACTAAGTGTTCTTACAAAATTTTCCCTAACAGCTTTTTCGGCGTTAGCTATCTGTTTCCCAGTTTGTTCTATAAATTCTTTCTTTATAGCGTCTTTTAAAATTGCCGCTTTTAATTCTTTCCTACGTTTATATTTTTTAACTTTTATTGAACTGTTCGCAGAACTAGTTTCCATATCTGAACTATCGGATTCTGTCATATATATATATCTAAACATTAGGTATATATAATTTATATAAATTATATCTATTAAATTACTTATTCAATTAATATCATATTATCCGCGTATGTAATTACCAATAGTATTTACTCTACATGCAGAGACTAAAATATAATTTTTTTCGTACTACACATTTTATATTAAGATTTTAGTTACCGCGAGGGGCTTTGCCACCCCACCCAAAAAAGTGTATTGAATCTATACACATAAACAATAAACATAGAGTAATCAATTTCTATTTATCTTTATCTACAGAGTACAGACAACATCGAAAGTTAACGATTTATGTCCGTATATTGGTACGATAATTAATTCGGTACTATACATAATATTGCAATAAATGCACAGAACTATAATAATACTATATACAATACCTATTATAGACAGTGAATTGCGAAATAAAAATCCCCGATTCTAGGAAAAAACATCCCAGACTTCAATATTAGGTACTCACATAATCACATGAAATTGATTGATTAAATGTTTTTTAAAAGCTAATTAATGTAATTACCACATTGTTAATATTTAATTATAAATAAACACAAGGTTTAGGAATAGCTATATCATTAAAAAAATGATTGTATAATAAATAGTGTTCAAACATTAACAATAACATTATTTTGTTTTTGATTTGAAACAACATAGGTAAATATGTTAATGGTTCTTTTAAAAAAAAATTTAGGTAAATACATTCAGTAACTATTGTTTGATAATTATTTGTAATTTGTATCGATTATTCGAAATATTTTTATTTGGTAATATTTTAAATATTGTATCTATAAGTAAAACTTGTAAAATCGACTCCTAATAATACGTAATAATTATTATTAATATTTAAAATTCTCATCTATCTATTCCCCAACTAAACATCAAATAATTTTTCAATTAACGAAGAAAAAAGTGTAAAAAAAAGCTAGTATAGTAGGTAGTTATTACAGGCCATTACACACTTTTTAATTTCGTATTCCACACTTAGTATTTCGTACTACACAAAGTGTGTCGTACTACACACAATTTTAGTCATGTATATACTATTATTAATTATAAACTATTAATACGTAACTACCATCACCAAAATTAATAATACGTAAAAATTATTACTTATAAAATAACTAGCATGCACAAATAATTATTCATAAAGGAAACTACGTAAACGCGCGTCGTACTTCGTAAATGGATGAGTACCTATCTAATAACACGTAAAACGTTCAATCGCCTATACTTCGCGTGTTAAATTTCGATACGGTTTATCCCCTCACCCGTTCCGCTCGCCCTGTTCCGCGATGTTTCATGCGTACGCGCTTGTACTGAGTACCTACTAACACACGCTCGTTGCTATACAACGCATGTATTTTACGTAAATTATATATATATCCTATTCAGTATATTTTAAACCATAGTTTTAACTATTTATACCTTAATTCTGATCTAATTTATAAATGTTAAAAAATAATGAATTCCTTACACCTAAGTTTAGATGAAGTCGACTGTCAGGAAAACTTTATATTAGGTAATAATAATAAAAAAAAAAACTAACACGTATATACTATTACTCACAAAATAAGCAACATGCACATATAATTATTCATAAAATAAATTTCGTAAACGCCCGTCGTAAGTCGTAAATGGATGAGTACCTATCTAATAACACGTAAAACGTTCAATCGCCTATGCTACGCGTGTTAAATTTCGATACGGTTTATCCCCTCACCCGTTCCGCTCGCCCTGTTCCGCGATGTTTCATGCGTACGCGCTTGTACTACGCTCGAATATTATAAAAACAATCTCCGGTTAATTACTCCGTAAATCCCTCAAATAATATTCGAATTCCTATCCCTTATTTTATTTCTTTAATTTTCTAATTTACGAGCTTAACCATTTAATTTCAACCACTTTATGCATATTATTTAGACGGTCTATGACAGATTATCAGATTCATGGGAGCAGTATTGTACTTACCCCCTACCTACACCGAATTTTTAATGAGTAGTAATTTTTGGTCAATAATAACTCCCAATAAACCTCCCCCCCATAAATGCAGATCTACGCAATGGTGGAAATCGAGTGAGGGGGGGGGAGGCTTGAAGTAGCTTAGGAACAGGAATATTGGTACTAAAAACAAACTTTAAACAATTTTAAAATTAATTATTTCAATAATTTTAAGATCCCTAATACTGATGTTAATTTAACACCACTGAATCTTAAAATAAAGATACCTATTGTTGACATAAATACAACTCTCGTAGTTAAATACAATATTATTGTTTTTATATCAAATCAGGTATATTATGTTTAAAGTAATATCTTTTACGGTGTTCATATTATGAAGGTTTTTGCTCTTAATAGTCAATTATTTAAATGTCTAAACAACACATATTATATTTAAACTGAATTTTCATTATTTATTTGTTGTAACAATTAGTACATTTTCAAATTTTCATTATAGTTATTTAAACTATGTTAAGCTTTACCATAGTAGTTTGATGCTGTTAAAATAATACCATCACATGTTCACTAGGATCCACAATTTAATCATTACAACTTACGTAGTATAAATTAAATTAAAGTAATATGAATCATTTAGATTCAAAGAAATGTATTGTTAACATAACCCCTATTAATGTTTAAATGACATAAACAAATATCAATATCACTACTCTTCAATATTTATTATGAATTCTGATTACTGTCACAATAAATGTTTTTGGATTAACACTTTAAGAGAGTTATCTTGAACTACTTGGCCACTGACTTCGGTCCGTTGACACTGTAATATTAGTGATTTTAACACCAAAATGTCTATGTGTGTAGTTTTATATTTTTAAACTTAGTGAGTTGGTAATAAAATGTATAAAATATTATAAATATATTAAATAATATTAATAACTAATAAGAAATAACTACATAGTAAATACTTAATAGTTAGTACTTTTGTAGTTACTATTACAAATTATAATTATTTATAAATCAAGTATGGAATCCTCTAGATTTATCCGCTCCAGACTTTAAGTTAGGTATGGTATATATAAATATATTATAATATGTATGTAATATGATTATCAACTATCATTATTTATTAGACTGTTTCCACTATATATTAATTTTTTAGTCCTTCAGAAAAAAAAACCATTTTTACATGTAATTTTTACATTTTTCAGGAAAAAAACCAGATTTTTCGTCAAAACCATTTTTTCCGGAAATTTTAAATGAAACCTTTTTTCCCCAATTTTTCCGAAAAAAAACGGGAAAAGCCCGGTATTTTTCGGGAAACCTTTTTTTTGGTGAAATTTTGATCCCTAGCTGTATCCATTTGCATTGCGCTGTATGCAAGCAGATACAGCAAATCTAGCAGTCAAATGCAATTAGCCGCTTTCCATATTAACAATAGGATGTGGCTTATGTGTATATTCTAAAATCAATGATATAAGTAATACTCAAGAGTCAAGTTACTTTAGTCAGTAATTAAACTTTATTTTGATGAAATTAAAATAATATTTAAAGAAAAATTAAATGAATTTTACACGATTATTTTACATATACAAACTATCATCAAAATCTGGTGGTCTCATATGATCCGGACGAGGTCTATTATTGCTGCCCGGCCTCATTGGATCTGGATTGATTGGGCGGGTCGGATCAAAACGTGCCATTGGAGGAATCCTAAATATTTATTAGTTAACATTATTAGTAAATGGATTAACATTAAATACAAAACATTAAGAAACCATACCCTGGTCCATTATTTGGTCTTCTTCTCTGCAAAATTTGGTCATAGATCATACCACCAACACCTGTTAAAGGATTCAAATCTGGCTGGCCGTATGATGGAAATGGATTTCTTGGGCTGTAAGGATCAGGCTGATAAGCTGGCGGATATCCAGAGAATTGTCCTATGGACCTGAATAAAATAAATGTAAGTTATTATACAAAATTAAAAAAATTAAATAAAGGAACACATACCAGTCATCCTCTTTTTTGGTCTGAATGCCAACATTTTTCTTATCCTTATTTTCTTTTCGCATGGGTTTAATTAGGTCAGTTTCTAACAAATGAATCATTTCATAGAACTTATCTGTATTATTTGCCGAGTCACTGATCCATTTCACTGCAGAATTAACATTTCCAATCGCAGCGCTTGCCACATGTTTTGTTAATTCATTCTAAGTAAAGTAGAATCATGATAGTCATAAATAATGTTTTTACATTTCTTATTAATTAATAATTATAAAATTATATTTAAACTTGTACTTACATACAAATTGAAAATAAAGCTATCACAAGCTTTGACACCACTCAACACAAACAATTCCTCGTCACGCTTGTAATGCAACTTGTACATTTCCTTTTCAGTCCAATTTGTAGGTAAAATATCGGTCGGTTGCTCTATGTTAGCTTTATCCTAAAAATATAAATAATTTTAAAACGTAACAGAAAAAAAAATGTTTATAAATAGGTACCTAGGTTTGCTTATATACAGAAGGATATATTAATCATAAAAATATTCATAACTAGTTTACATATTAGGTATGTGCTGTAAACATTTTGAGGATGATAAATTCAAAATTAATTAGAATAGATAGAGCCAACATTTAATTAGTGCATTAAAATTATCTAGGTATATTGTAATTTATAATACATTATAATCAAAAGTTCTCTAGGTAATGAACATGGTTAAAATATAATGTGCTTTCCAAGTTCAATAACTAGTATAGTATACAATGTTAGAACATGTTGCGCTTAATATGGTAGACCAATTTGTTTTTATTCACAGATACAAACACACATTACTTTTTACCCTAGTAGCTGCTATACTAATTTATTTATTTGCGGAAATATCGGCCAGGCTAATCTAGTCGCAATTTGGTACCTCTAGATGAATTCAATTAGCAAGAGCGCCTACAGAAATATAAACCGGTAGGAGGGGGGGGGCAAAGTAAAAAATCTCTGATAACATAGCACATACCTACTACTTTTTTGTTTTTATTACAAGTGATAAAACAACTAATATTAACTAAAATAGCTGAGGTGCTATGCCACGCACCAGCACGCGCCCATATAATTAAGTAGTTAATACAAATTAAGTGTAATTTATTTGAAACCGATTAAAAGAGTCTAAATCGTACAGATCTTAGAAATAAGTTCTCATCGTTGAACACAAAAACTCCTTTATTATAAAATGTCTAATGCTCGTCAAGATTTATCACATCACTATAAATTAAATCTAAAACTACCAGTGTTGGGTACATTACTTTTGATAAGCAATAATATTAAGGTGCTTGTTACAATTATAAATATTTTTACTTAAATTAAATAGGTAAAACAAAACGTTATTTTATCATTCAAAAAGCACATTTAATTGTAAATAAATTTAATTGATACTTAATTTTTCTCGAATAGCATAGTCTCTAGGTTTTGTCATACATTTTACATTCATAACTTATTTAATGACTGATAATAACATGTTACTGTATAGAAAATACTTTTGTTAATTTAAATAAAATATAATGCGATTACTGCAGCGTTACTGCAAAAATAATTTTCTTACAGTAATTTGTAATTTGTGTAAGTTGCTGCCCAACACCGATAACTACCTACCTAGGTAATAACATTTACTAGAATATTATTGTTTATAGTTAACTAAATAGTTACCTCATTGTCAAGTCCAAGTACTTGGAAATTGTTTCTCAACAACAACCAATGCACTAATATTACCAAATTGTCCTCGGGTTTTATAACGTCTTTTTTAAAATACTCATATGTAAGGAACCAAAACTTAGAACTGTTTTCAGCCATGGTCTTCGAGGAATTCTGTATCGAAAAATTTGACTAAAATTTTAATCTAACAAGTTGTACATAACGATCACTTACGACGTAGTAATACACGAATTACAATGAATATTATTCTGTAATTCTCTGCACTGTAGACCGGACTGTGGTCACAAATTAAAATATTGTACAGGAATAATTAATAATCGACGAATAATGGACACAAACAACACAGAATTGTTTATCAGCGATGCTATCACGATGGACACAAATTCATTTGTCATGGTAACAATAGATAAGACATATAAGACACCGATGGACACTATCAGTTATTCTAATTTCTCACGTAGACGTAGTCAAGACGTCACTTATTATTATTATTATTTATTATTCACTTCACCAGAAACTTTTTATGAACTGTGAACTATAATTGAAATTTGAATGGCGTGCACTCCTTAAACGAAAACTCTTATTTCGTATAATCTGTGCTTCAGATGCAATAGCAAACTGTGGCTCTCGTTACGACGTGCCCTATAAAATATTTTAATTTGCGGTAATAATTTTATTAAAAACATTAAACAAATGTCATTTCTTAAAGAACACGTTGAGGACCAATCTGGATTTGAGGTACTTGAGGTGAGCACTGAGCAGGGACAACAGAAGAACAGAATAAAAACGATCTTGACTATCTATCTAAGACTCAATAAAAACATCAATCGTTTTCTAATCGTCCAGCGACTACTGTAAATCGTAATAATTGGCGATTACTTCACAATTTATTGTCATTTGTCACTCACATTACAGAATAATGTGCCCCCATTGAGTCATTGAGAGTGTAAATAAAATAGTCGTGAAGAGACGAAACAATCAGAATTATTCAGGAATACGCACAGATATAATATAATAAGTTATTATATATATCTGTGGGAATACGTCTTGTCACTCTTATCACTTATCACTCATCATTATCGTTATCAATCCACCGTGCTTTCTGCTTGATGATTTTTTTTTTTTACTTAATTTCGATAATAATTTTCATAATATAATACTACCACAATAATATTTGGTAATATTATTAACTAATAATATTATGCTGATCCTTTCCGACGGGACACGGCATAATATTATAGATTATTTTTAGCAATGTCCTCTCCTCACACACGTCACACACACACACACACACACACACACACACACACACGCACACGTCACACACGTCGTGTATTCATGTCTGTCGGTGAAGGATTTGCATTCCGTGAAGTATAAGTATTGTATGTGAATACCCACACTGATTTCCATCTGATCTGTTTAGTTCAAGGCCGCTGAGAAAATGAAAACATTGAAAACAATCCGACGAAAAGAACTTGTTGGTGAATGGTAGTTTTAACTTTTAAGAATTTCACAATTTTCGGACTTACATTTTTAAATTAACAAATACATATTTTTGGTGTACTTAAAAATTATATTTCCCGTCTTACACGTTACCGCTTACCGATAGTGCGTGTTTATATAATTCGTACGATATTTTTATATAATACAATGTACGTTTGTTACTTCAGATAATAAACAACGAGCAATAATATTAAACCAGGTAAGACATTTTATCTAAAATTTAAAAACAAAAATGATCTCTGCATTAAGCCAACTCTTAGAATTAGTATTATATTAAATAAATAACAAATTTATTTAATGAATAGTTCAATTTATAGTTGATTGATTATGCAAATTTCAAACTATTTCTTTAATTTGTACCTAGTTAATTAATCGACATTACCTAATGCATTGTTTTTATCAATTTTCTTCAATAAATTAAATAATACATATTACATAATTTATAAATACCTACCTAACAATTTTACTTTGTTTTCATATATTAATTTTATGAGCAAGTAGGTACCTACCTAAGTGCTAAAGCATATTATTTATTGATATGATAAGTAGTTTTTATTAATTACCTGCCTATTATTAGGTACCTATATCTATTTGATCATAGGTAGGTAAATTATAGAAAGAAAAAAGTGTACCTAATAGGTACCTACCTATTTACTATTCAATTTTTATTTGTAGGTACTTACTATCATCAATAAATTTATAAAATATATTAAACAATTAATCAGGTATTTAAATCAAATTGTTTAGTTTTGGCTTGTACCTACATATTCTGCTTTTATATCTAATTTAATATGGACTAGACAGGGCGATTAACCATGTATGTCTACTCGTATTGTATTCTTAAATGTTATATACATTTAAATTTCAGTTTTTGGAAATTAAAAGTATACTTTCTGAAGACATTTTACTGGATGTTCCCTTTATTCAAGTGACCAGGTCTTGTAATATCTCTGTTTCAACATTATTCGTTCATTGGATATATAATATAGGTATTAGGTATAGTGTAAATATTTTTTACTTTCAATTAAAGTTTACACATAGGCCATATTTTCAAATACTTAGATGTGTAATGAGATTTTATTCTTAGTTCACACAGTTCTACATCTAAGAAACTACTTGTCCAAATTTAGATTTAGATGCATAAAAATTTGAATAAATTAATATTAATGAATAGATAAGAGCATTCTCGGTGAATTAATCAAGGATATTAATTTCTGTTCGAGTTTTGGGGACATTTCCTCCACAGATCATGATCATTATCTACTTGAGTTTTGAACATTTTTATATACATAATAATTAAAATAGGACCTAATAATATATAACTGTAATAGTATAAAAAAAATCATGTACAGTTATTACTTTATTGGGATAGACCTACCTACTAGAGGCACTGAAAGGTTAGTTTTGCCTATGGCAAATATCAAAGGTAAATTAATTTTCTTTAAACGAAGATAGTAACACAAACCTTTACCTCAGACCATTTAATTATTTTTTGTCTCGAGCAAAATGCATTTAAATAACTAAATACATACATGATTATATACTGATATCTTGATACATTTTTATTTTATCCATAATAAATTAAAACTTAATAATAGTATAGGTACCTACCACCTGTTACAAGAAAAAACTAATAATACAGGTATATCTCGGATGTATGTGATGTGGCCGTCTTTTCACACATTTGCTCATTAGTAACTTGCTTGTCTAAAATGACTAAAATGTTACTTATAGACAAAAAGTGTAGTGGGGCAGCATGAACTTTTTTTTCTACCAAGCAACTCTTTAAATAAAGTACCAAATAAAGATGGCCAACCACTACAACAGTACTACACCACCAAACCCAATTCATAGAAGTAGATACATTTGTTCTTAAATTATCAACGAGCCCAGGGACGGACTGGGGCAACTATTCGGCCCGGGAAATTTATATTTTGACCGGCCCTTAAAATGTCGTCATCACTAAATGTAAGACTTAAATATGGTACCAAAGTTATGACAAATAATGGTTGCATCCTCCACCTACTCATTTTTAATTTCCTCAGGAGACAACTTAAGATTCTCAATGTACCTATTTAGTATTTTATCTTAATTAAATGTACTGCACAGTATTATGTATATATCACTTTTTCTATTACCTACTCTATAAGTGATCCATAACGGATGAAAAAAATAGGTTCGTTTAAACTACTTTAACTTGATTTTTCTAAGAGTATCCTTCTCTCTCTCTCTGATTTTTTCAACCCCATTCTTTCTTTTAGTTTCCATTTTAAACAACAAATAGATAAGTAAATATTACAAAATCATCAAACGATACACTAGTACACTACAATAAAATAAAAAAGAAGTTCAAGAATTCACTTTTTTGAATTAAGGACGTTACATATGAACGTACGAAACTGTACCTTTAGTTATCAGCTTATTAATTCCCATCAAATTATCACAAATTATCTTTTATATTTTACTATTATGTAGGTACAATATATTTATACTATATTTTTTATTGTGTACAATTTAATGTTAGTTATAATTAGTAAATACTGGCTGGCTAGAAGTGGATATATTAATCGACTGTAGAATAAAGTCATATTATAAGTTAAAAATAGGGCATGGATATAAATACAATAAAAAAAACAATGCCTTAAAAATACGATTTTATGCACAGTAACAATATTACAAAGCTTAGTAAAATGCCCAGAAAAATGAAAAGCCAATTTAAATGAAAATAAAATAGAACTTAAATAGGTATAGTCATTAGTCGTTAGTCGTCATATATTGTGTTTCATTATAATCACTTTTCAATCAGAAGCTAATCAATATTTTTGAATAAAAAACTTTGACAGTTAGAATTGGCAAGTGTTGTTTTGTATAACTGAAGTCATAGGAGCAAACAAAATAAAATAAAACGTAATAAAATAGAAATATTAGTAAGAAAAAATGATTTTTAATTATATTAAATTTCTTGAAGGAACTTAAGCTAATAGTGTTTATAAAATTGTATATTTGTATATATAATTATAAAATTTACGAAAAATTCCTTCAAACGATAAAAATGTCATAAAAACGTCAAAAAAATGTTCTATAAATCAGTAAAGTTAAAAAAATGCTAAATAAAAATTTAATTTTTAAATTATTTTATGTATGAAATACATTTTTTGATTGGAAAGCAATGTTTAAGAGAATCCAGAAAAAAATGCAATTTATCTTCAAATTCACACCCTAGTAGTTATAAATAATAATTTCTGTTTATGCATTGATGCCGAGGGGCTGGTCAACCAGCTGAACCGAAATCACTAACGAAATCTTAAACACCAAATATAATATAAACATTTTGCACACTCAACAGTTATGATATGAAAATACAAAATATTTATAATTTATATTTATACCTACTGATTTTGTTATAAATAAATAATAATAGGTAACTAATTATTTTTGAGTAGCGGCCCACCGGGAAAGTTCCCGGTATCCCGCCGGCCCAGTCCGCCCCTGAACGAGCCTATCATTTCTGATACTAACTCTCACTTTTACATTAATCAGTCATTTAATAAAATAGCTTTTCATGCCGCCACTGAACACGTACTATTATAGTATTATCAGTATTATCCGACTATTGTCTATTACAATAAGTTGTAGTACCTATTGAAATTACACTATTATCATTGATAATTACAAACCCGATTACATACATGGCATATTTTTTTATCAGTGGTATTAGGTACTTATTAAGTATTTATTATAATATATGTATTATTTTGAACGATCATGGTTGTATTATCAGTGTAAATGGGTTAAGATTGTCAATAATCAATTGCTGAATTTATATAGTACCTACACTTACAACCTTATGTTAAATATACAGTGGCGTAAAAAAAAAGGTAGAACAATTCCAAACAATGGCCCGTCCACCTAGCCACTTCATCATTCAAAAACTGGGGGAAAAGATACAAAGCTTAGTGTTAATACCAACCTATTTTAGTAATGTAGTATTAATTACCCTGGCTAAATATATTTACATAAATCCCAAGTTTTAGGTAGTTCAAACTTCAAATACACTACCCAGATTACATATCTGTACCACTGAAAATATACATGAGGAGAAAATGTCCTTCTACTTTGGTGAATGACCCTATATATAATAAGATGTATAACTCGTATAAGCTGATATTTTACTGATTAGAAGTTACTTTTGAATTGCATACTAAATCCTCATAATCTAATGAATCATAATGATTATAATATTTTATAAATGTAAACTCATAAAAAAAGGGAATTGTATGATAGTTAAATATTATTATTTGTTACATTGTAGTGTAAAGAGTGTTATGTAGGCGTCTGGACAGTTAAATGTTGATCTGTGTTATACATGTTTCAAATGATTTTGGTGCTTCTGAGTTTGGGTCTATACAAAGTGTAATACAATGACCAGACAAATAAAATAATTTTTGTTCTAATCAATATTTAAAAAATTTTTATACACAATTTATTGATGTATTTGTTACAAGTACAGTATAAATTTGTATATTTTTATTTTTTAATATTTAATTACTGAAAAAAAAATTTATTTAATTACATTTATTTAGAAAAATGTTGATATTAAAAACATTTATATAAGTAAAGTAGTTTATTTTTTACAATTTTTCTAAAATATCAATATTTTTTTAGAATAAATTAATTCAAAACAATAACTTTTTTAAATATTCCTTTTGTGAATTTTCAGACAAATAATCTGAAATTATTTATTATTTATTTAATTTTAATAATTTTAGTTTAACGTTGAACTCTCTAGCATCAATTTTAATTTTTCACTCGATTTTTCATTTGTCAGGAGGTCTTCTCTTACCCCATACCTACCTATATTGAAACAATACCTAATTATTTATATTAGGAAATTGTCAATAACATTATAAGATACTTGCATACATATTATAGTTTAGATCATTACTGTTAAGTAATTTTATTTGGTTGAGATTGGCGGCTCTGTGGCACTACAATTCATAATTATATAACTTATTAGTAGGTACCTAAAGTAATTTAAAGATTTTTTGAAATATTATTCCTTTTTATAATTGTTTAGAAACATATTATTATAGTTATTTTCTTATATGAAACAATGAATAAAAAATATTTTACCTAAAATATTGTCAATGTTTAACCTGTTTGATATTATTTTATACATTAAACATTTGGGTACTTTACTGTTTCTTGACTACCGCCCTATACCACACATACATACTATTCCAATTGTTTAGATTGCTATTCCGTTTAAACTTAAATTTGTGTCATTGTGACTGTATAGTGTGTCAGTTGTTTTGTTTGGATGGCCATTTAGTGCAAGTGTGCCATTAAGTGATATTATTATAATAACTTAAATGGGTTACATAAATAATTGTAACTGTTATTTTACCATATTTTGGTATGATTTATACTTATTCTATTTATATATTATAGAACTTTTACTATTTATAACTAATTAACAATTATTGTTAAACAATATCCCAAGATTAATAGCTAACTTTACTGTTATAGAATAGAAACAAGTTTTTATTTATAAAAGTGTTATTTTAGAGTATGCTGTTGAGTGTCGGTAATACATTATACAATGTCAGCTATTTTCCATAACGACCTTCATTCAGTTTTAATCTAATTCTTGGAATAAGCTCTAAGTGTATTTTCTGCCAAAATATTAAAATATATTATTTTTAAGTTGAATAAATATATTTTATTGCTATATTAGGTAGGTACATGTTTATTAATTATTATTATTATAAAATATAATATAATGTAACCAAATAATAATTATAATTATTTTAATAAGATGAACATTTGTGTAACATATTATTATTAAATGTGCCTTAAAGGTATTTAATTTATTTTAAAAATATTAGGTAGTTTATACCCAATGTATTAAAGTTAAATTGTGTACAGTTGTTACCCATTTAATAATTGTTGTTGTATTTAGACTTAATAATAATTATGCAATAAATAGCTCTTAGTTTAGGGAGGCTGGTAGAAAAGAAATTTGAGAAATAATTTTCTAGTCTTATACAATATACAGTCTATACAAAATAAACAAATATTAAGTAATTTTAATATTTAACTATAACATAATATATTACCATTTTTAAAACCATTCTTACTAGTACAAATTATTCGTTTGAATTTAAATTACATCATCACGAGTCTAACATAAAAAAATACTTGTAGGTGTTAATGTTATGAAGATTATTGTCCAAAAAGACGACCGTCACCATTTAAAATAAACTATTCATGAACAGAGTTATTTTTAGGTGTAAATCTGTAAATGGCAGGTCAAAAATATAACAGTTCCTACTTATGAACTCTATGACAACTAAAAACTAATTTTATCATTTATCACAAATTAAAAATACTATTTTTATAAAACCGCCTGTTGATTTGTTTGCCGTAAGGTGTTTTTTTTAATTTTTGGCACTTATTCATTAGTATTTAATTCCATTTTTGTTTCATCATTCATACATTAAAAATATAAATATTGTATACATATAAAGAAGTAATTAAAATTATTATTTTACATTATTTTCTTTAGGTAATCATTTATATATTCATTTACTATTCATTTACCTAAATATGTTTAATTTTATGAATTAATATGATTGACACAGTCACGGTCAGTACTGTTGAGGAGATAAAACAACTACACCATGATGACTGATTTTTATATAAAAATATTTGAAGAGAACATATTTTTATTACTTTGTTCAACTAATAGTGTCATTTTTAAACTAAATTAATACCATTCTATTATTTTCAGCAAACGAAAAAAAAAATAATCGAAATGCTGTTGAATAGTTATCTATAATGTCTGAACACAGGAAACATTCTAGGATCTCGGTGATGCAAATGTTTCATGAGCTCAAACAGCAATTTCCTACAGTTCCAGATCAAGTAGTTTCTGATTGTATACTCAAGGTGAGAAAACTGATCAATAATAATCACATTATTATATTTACTTAAAACTATCAGTTATTATTTTTCTTTATTCCAGCATTCAACTAATCGAGAAGCGTGTGTATCAAATCTAAAAAGTGTTCAGAAAAATTACGTTCAACAAACTTATCCATCTGATATTGTAGATAAAATGGCGAACAGACCCAAAACTCTTGAAATGTCACCAAACAATCTTTCCTTGCCTAAATTACAATTTTCAAATAGACCACATCAGTTTGATGATTCAAAGGATTTAATAAATACAAATAGAAGTGATATAGATGACACACATATTTTAGACGTAGATTTTAATATAAATAGATGTCAATGTTCATCTATTTCGGCACCATCAACTCCTTCACAGCGACATCAAGGAGAGCATAGACACAAATCTTGTCTTTCATTAGATTCTGTGCCATTTGTTGATACACAGTGCCGGCCATTCACTTCTGTAAGTCTCACCTTGAGAACACCTACTAAAGATCCTCTACCTCCGTTAGATTTATCAGCTGGTGGAGGTTCTGAACTCACTTATACAGCTTGTTCATTTGATCCAACTACTGATCCTAAAAATTGTTATCAATCAAGACTTCATATAAGTATTGACCCTGAAGGTGAAACAACTGTAACTACTTCTCGTGTTATGGTATCCCCTACAAATATTAAATCTATTAATCGGATGACTGAAATTCAAATTCCTGGATCAGTTCAAATTGATAATATTTTACCGAAAACTAAAAGTTAGTATTTAATAATATTACACCTATATATTATATTGTACATTTTTACTTGAATTCAAAATTGTCTGCATGTTCATTAAATTAATAATTTTTAAAAGATATGAGATGTATGCATAAAGTTTTAAATTTGTGAAATTTTTTTTAGTGGTAATAAATGCTCAATTAGAACGGAAGCAGAAGTTAGCTTTAGAATTATCAGCAGAAAAACAAAGACTAGAAATTATGAAAAAAAATGTGGCATTGATGGAAGAAGATATTTCTAAAAGGCGTTCGTATTCCAGAAAGGTATGTAGAGTAAACTTGATTCGATGTTATTATTATTTTTGTTTTTTTTTTAATATTTATGTATTATATGTATGTAGATTGAACGTTTAAGGAATGATGTTGAATTATTACGATTAGAATGTAACAAATTAACTGTTCAAGTAGATACAGTTACGGAGAATCGAGGTAGGTTGAATTATGTAATTATTGATTTTTTGATTGATAACTCAGTAGTTATTCAAGTTTGAGTTATCAAAAAAGTTCAAACGAAGGGGTCCATGCAAAAAAACAGATAATCTATGTTCATCAAAAATCTCGTTTAAATACTATTCGGTGAAGAAAAAACATGACTGTATCTTTGCAAAAACAAGATCGGACAATCCATATAATAATTCTAAGAATAATATAAAGCGATTGAAGTTGGAGCTGTCTGGTTTTTTATTTTCTGGCCAAAAACCAGATAGTTCCAACAGAATATTATAATGAATAAAATTGATGAAATACTAAGTTCCGGTTAAAAAACAACATAGCTCCAAAAATTAAAATTGTTTTTTTAATTTTCTGTAAAGTTTTGAAAATTTTATTTCTAGGGTTTGCACTGATCCCTCCCAATGTTGTGCTCTTTTGAAAATTAAATAGATCACTTATAATAAAACAAAAATACACTTCAAATTCTTATTGGAGAGGTTGATAGAAAATACTGAACACTTTAAGAATATTTACTTACTATTCAAGTCGATGGCATGAAATATCTTAACCATATTACAAGATAATTAATTTGATCAATCCAAGTTGATATTATGATTAAGTATAAAAATAAATATACTAAATGCGTAGAATTTAGGTAGATATAACATATTAGTTAAAAAAAACTATTAAAAAAAAGAAACTAAAAATTAAATTTAAAAGCAAAAATGTAATTTGAATGAAACAAATTTAAAGCTGATCTCGCTAATATTTTACCAATATAAAAACTAATGTTTACAACATCCAACAACGAAAGTTTTCAGTCATCAGAAATTAAACTTTAAAGTTTTCATTAATTAGGAAACTGAATTTTATGCACAATATTATAATTTTTGTTATCATTTAATATTATTTGATGATGTCATTTATTTAAAGTAAATTTATATTTAAAAATTAAGAAAAGTTGGTTAAAGAAGATATTGTCTTACTATCTAAAAATATGTACTTGAACTCTGTCTTGAAGATACAATTAATGTTTATTTTATTTTTATAGTTCCATCAGAAGAAACAAATAAACAATTTTATAACAAAATTTATACTGGACAAAAGGTGTCTTTTGGGAAAATGCACAAAGAATATCGAGGTTAGAAAAATTAACTACAATAATTTAATGAATTACTTGTTAATTTGAATTATGAATTGTTTTATCGCTAAAATGTATATTTTGTAGAACATTCAGAAACCCAAAACTGGGTTTGTCCTATGTGCACATTCCAAAATCATCCAATATTGCCAAGATGTGAACAGTGTGATATGGCTCGTTTCGATCTAGGTACTACATCATCAGTTGTGAACAACAATATTCCCATGTGCACAAAATTAACCGCCAATTTAACAAGACAATGCTTAACATGAGTGAAACTTTTTGCAGTGTGTGATGGTGAGAAATTTAACATTACTAACTTTTGTAATTGTAGTTGAACATATATTATGTGGTATACAAAAGTGGATAAGAAGTCTTACAAAATATAAGTTATAACTGTTTTAAGAATTTTAAATCAAATTTTAAATATTGCAACACTAAAACAATTTGTTTAATTTTTTCATAAGCAATTTAATACCTTGTGAACAACATTTTATTTTTTAACAATTCATATGAATTTTGTTTTATTTACTTAAGTTGAAATTAGTTATTTCAGATGTACTTTTTCAAAATATTTTCTTGTTGAAGCTTATAAAGTTTGTTTGTTAATCCGTCATCGGTATCTCTGTGTTTGGTGTCATGATTGATGTCGTGTTAGCGTTACTCTAACATTATCATTATTTTGGTTCTGTGAATTACTTAATGAACTTAAAATAGTGAAACAAAGATAAAAATGTTTAACTAGTTGTATCCTTCAAAATTACCATACAAAAAATTAAATACAAATAATTTTTATCAAAAAAAAATATATATATACATATTATTAAAATCGGAGAAATGGGAAACGCTCTGCTGTACGTCAGGTGTCTAAAGAGTCACTGTAACGGGTAGTGTTACATTTTAATTATATGATATAATTTCATTGTAGACTAATAACGTTTCTGTGCTGAAGACTGTCTGTTATCCTATAATATTACTAAGTATGTTTGAAGATATTGAAGTAATTTATTTTATTACTATGCATTTTTTACTATTAGTGCAACAATAGGTTAACTTCATTTTTGCCAAAAACATAACAATTGAAAATGTAATTTTGTATTTGAAATATATTAATAATTTTACTCTAAAAGTTTCATACATCCACGAATAATACTCTTAAAATACAATAGAGTAACTAAAATTGTTATTCTTAGTTTTAATATGTAATTTTGTCTGAATTTGAATGTAAAATATTTGTAAAAATTAACTGTGTTTATATATTTCTTAGATTTTTTGGTTACAGTATAAATCATTTATGAAAATCATGGTTTTAGATTTTTAATCCTTAGTTATAAAAATTTAACATTTTATAATTTTATAACTAAACTGTAATAAGTACAAACATTTTTAATATTTTGATACATTTTGTCAAAATTTGACCTTAAATACTTAGAAAAAAAGTTGTACCTATGGATCTTTAATATTTATCAACAGCCATTATAACAACTTATAAGGAACCTTGTATTACATTTCAAACATTTTTGGCTCAAAAAATACAATTTTATTGAAATTTATAGAATAAAAAAAATTCAAAAATTTTACCATTTATAGAAAATTATAAAATAAACATTCGATGAACATTTTTAGTGCCTATGGTTATTAGTTTTTGAACAACAACAAAATTTGAAAATTGTTGTATGAGAATTTGTTAATTTATGAGTGAATACCCAATGTCCAGGTTCAAAAGCTCGTAAAAAAATTAATTTGACTCCGGTAAACCTTTATTTTTGTTGGATGTACGAAAACATAAGTGCAATCTTACATTGAATTTTCAAAGCTTAGATTTCCTAGATAATATAATGTGATGTATAAGTTAATTGAAAAATATTGTTAATTTAGGTACTTACAATTATTTTTAGTTTATTTTAAGTTCTACCTCACATCACAGCTATAGGCTTTACTGAGTAGACAAACCTTGCATATTGAATGTAATTTCAATTGTATCAAATATTTTGTTGTTGACTTATTATTATTATGTTAGCGCAACTCTAATACCGATACTGATGATGGATTAGAAGTGACAGTCCGTTAATAATATTTTTAATAAAAGTATTACAATGTTACTAATTCTTTTATGTTTAGTGCAGTTGTGTATATATTTTTACAAATGTAATTTTATATTTTATACTAAATTGTTATGATTGTTCAATTTCTTATTCAAGGAAATGTGAATTTTATTTTGTAGGAAAACCACAGCCGTATCCTGGAAATATTCATGTAAGAGTTACTCATCGATTAAATCATCAGAGTGAGTTACTGACTTCATTGTCGAGCAACATTCTAGATTTTACAGTGGTTTTGTGTCGCTCAGATGCTGTCACTGAACAAAATCTTATAAGTTGTCATAATATTTTAATTTAAAATACTTATATGAAAAATATTTGGTCTATTTACAGGGAAAACTACAAGTTTGTATTGAAGTATTGATTTTGGATGGTTGAACTCAATCAACGGTGGTCTTTGGTTAATTATTTGGACGAAATTAAATTTAACCTAAATGCCTTAATGTGATACGTTAAAGTATAGAGCTAACTTTTTTTATTTTGCATTATATTTTACATTACATGTACCTAGTACGGAGTATATGGGTATTTATGAATGATTTGATAATAATTGCTCATTATTATACTGTTAATTAAATTGTCAATCCGCTAGACATACCCTGTATAATATGTTAAAACAAATTTTGTTAGCTGATAATTAAATACTTTTTATACGAGTTGAAATTTAAATAATGTTATGTAATCGAGTGATAAAGTTACACAGTTTTTATAAGTATAAGATTTACCAAATCACGTTTAGTAAGATCAATAAACATTATTTGTTTGTATAAAATTGTAAAGTTTAATGTATCAAAAAGCAATATTTTTTTATTTGCTGAATATAAAGACTTGTTGTTTAATTAAAATATCTAAGTTTAAGTACCTATTTCATTATAGATATTGTTATACATACATCATACACTTTAACAATTAAACGTTTATATTATTTTCACATACGATAATGGGCATTTAGAAGACACTTATATACAACTGTTTAACTTTGACCAATGCATTATTATAATTTTTTTTTTTTTTGTACACAAAAAGACTTGGAACATGGGTTGATGCAATAAATTGTTGTATTAGTTTTTAATATAACTAAGTTGTACTAAGTTATTAATCAATATATATAATAAAAACTTATGTTTTATATATATACATATATATTCATATAATTAAATGGTTGTTGTATTAAATTTAAATAGCAGTTCCTCTTTCCAAATTTTGTTTGATTTGTGTAGTATGCTCTCCATAGTACCGTTCCAATTTTGCATTGAATTTCATGTTTCTCTCATTGATATAATCAATATCTGCTTCGTCATTATGCGTTCTCCTCCTACTGAACTTGTTACGTTTTGCAATCCTAAAAAAATCAAACAAATATTTTCACTTAAAATTATTTTTTTTTTTTTAAGTTTACAACGATATTAGTTATACACATACTGCTTTTCCAAATCATCGACCATATTGTCAATTCCTTCTTTTGAATCTTTGACTTTATCGTGCAAATAAGTGTTGGCCTCCGCATAGAATGCGTTGCCCAGTCTATCTCTTTGTCTTTGATAGGCGCCCATGTCTACTTTCATGTTGGATATCATTCTGTTGTATTGGCGAGCCGTAGCTTCTTCGTAATCCGAGAACCCGGGATCAGGATTTTGACGTTTTTTCTTTCTGTCAATGGCATCTGCTTCCATTGCGGTCATGTTTAAAAGTTTTAAACGGTTGTAATCTTGTCCCTTAAATCATTCACAACAATCAAACAAAAAGACCTCACAACACAAAAAATAAATGTTTTTTTCAAATTATTATTTTAGGAGATAGATATAATTGCCTTTCTCATTAATGTAAAATTTTGTAAAATTTGCTCACTTTACACAATAATTTACATATCTTAAAATTGTATTTTTGATGCTTGATTTATGTATAAATGTGTGACTTTTATGCTAAAGACGATTGAGTTATAAGAATTGCAATATAACATTTAGTTTTTTTTTATATTAAAAAATACTAAAAGAGATTAGGGCCGTTTGTGCCATGTTGTGAGAAGTGGCTGCACCTGTTACAAAGGGTACATAATACAAATTTCTTATATAAGGTTTTAAATATTTTAAAAACAACTAAATACTTTTGACAAATTCTGGTCCCACCAGAGTTTTTAGTGCATAAAACATAACTTGAGTACAAAAAAAATTAAAAAAATTACTTAAATTAAATTATTGTGTAAAGCAAGCAACTTTTAGACATACAAAATAGGCAATGACGGCAAATCTGGGCCAATGACGTAACGCGTGTTTTTTAAATTCCTAATTAAGTCATAACATATTAAATAATGCGAGTAGAAATGTTAAACCTATACCATTTTTTGTAGAGTTAAACATTCTTTCAAATTAAAAAAAACTTATTTTTTGTTTTATCTTCTTTAACAATACAATTATTGAACTATTAAATAAATAATTTCATACTTTATCTTTAGCCTCTTGTCTCAGTTTATCGTCATTTAAAAGCCACTCTGCTTTCCTTTGTCTTGCTTCCCAGTTTGACGGCAACTTCATTTGTTTGTCTTCTTCAACAACTTCTTGATGGTTGTTCACTCTGGCTTCATTCTGGGTAAGATATAATAAGAATTAATACCAGCTAAATTTAATTGTTTAATAATATTAAATGAATGATGTAAAATATTAGCCATGGGATAATCTATACAAGTAAAATTAATATAATAAATAAAATACCGGGTAAAATACATTGTAGGTATTGTGCAGCTGTATGAATATTATGATTATGTTTTCAGGACTATCTAGTCACATAAACACAAATGACCCTCAATGAATTGATTACATTTAAATTGTTTTAAATCCTTTGATTATAATTAATTATTTAAAAGAAAAAAAACAAAGCTTTGTAACAGTGGTGGAGGTGTTGAACAAGTTTTAATAAGAACAACATAATATTATATAACATTATTCTAAGATTAGTTAGATCATCTGATGGTGATAACTATAATAAACAAATTTCGTTCATAAGGGTTTTTCTATGTTTTTAAGTAATTTTAGAGTAAAATCATCCATTGCAAAAAAGATTGCGAGTAATATTTTAGAGAGAAAGACATATCGATTTGTCTAAATATTGTTTCAAAACAATTTAAACGACAATTAAATGTATGACATGTTTTTGTTTATTTTGAAATTCAAATACAAAGTCAAATACCTAACAATAAAATTATATATATATATAATATAAAATTGATATGTCATTCCCTCTAAAATATTATTCCCTATCTTTTTTGTAATGGGTGATTTCACACCAAGACGCATAAATGCGTTTTGAGTATGTTGCACATAGGCCAGAGAGAGAGAAAACAAATAGTGCGCTGACATCCTCTTTATGAAGCAATAGTCAATTTTATTTTATAGATATAAACAAACGCCAATTGTATTTTTACACGATAAATGAAATAATAAATAGTATATAAAGATAGTTATAACATAAAAATAGAATAAGTGAAACATCATGATTGCACCATCATTCTCAACTCGATGAGTTACATAAGTTTTGTTAAAAAAAAATTCAAAATGGTGAGGGGGTACTAAACTGCAATTGTTCCAAATATATACAATAATCAATATGAAAATTAAATTAAATAATAATAATTTTTAAAATGTACACAGGCTCAAGAATGTTCCTATAAAAATATAATTATAATGTATAAGTATAGAAATAGTAAACATATAATGTATATGAGGGCTCTGGTTTCAATGTGTACATTCGCCATGTTCACTAAATTTTCAGAAAACCTAAAAAACCAAACTCATGTGTATCAATGATCAATAACTCACTATTTTTGAGCAAAATGATCAATCTCCAGTGTATTTTAAGCTTGAAAATTACATTTGGTTTCAAAACGTACAATCTCCTATTTATTATTGTTTTTTTTGGTTTTCTAAACATTTAGTGTACATGGAGAATATACACTTTGAAACTAGAGCCCTCATATGTTTATTATAAATTATGATGTATAGACGTGAAGACTGAATATTGAAGTATAAATAGTGCGTACGAAATTGTGCTTAAACTCATCAACTTAAATAATGTACCTAAATCGGAAAACACAATACTAATGGCTGTGATACGGGTCTTTACAGAACATAACTGATACTGTAAGTTGTTTACTTGGTATACAAATATAGTATAATAGTAGGTATATTATTATCACGTAGGTAAAACTGTAAAAATTTCTTTTCTATTTACAGACCTTCTTATCGTATTAGCAGTACAATACTACAATTATTTAATATTATTATCCAATATCATGAGGCCATGGTCGTTAATCGTTATGGATGTACTATCAAATTTGGCAATATTGAGCATAGAAAGCAACATTGCACAACAATTTGATTTTGATAAAGTAATTAGTACATTTGCACAAATGAGAAAGCACAGAAAATTATTATAATGTTCTTATTTCTTAACTATTTTTATACTTGGTACTTTTATTTTTATGTATTTTGATAAAAATACAAATTTTATAAATGCATTAAGAGCAATAAATGCAAATCTATAACCACCTTCTCTAGATCAGATATCTATTGTGAAATTGAAAGCAGTCATTGAACACTAAATTAAAATAAATACACCACAAATAAAATATTAAATATGTATAATCCCTTCTCAAAATTATTTAAATAGGTACTCCAGGTAAATTTGTTAATTGAATAAACATTTCAATGCAACAATTAATTAATAATACCTAAAGTTTGTAAGTAAGTTTAAAATTGTATGTAATTATATTGAATGTTGGTATGAAAATATGGTATAAATAGGTACCTAACTATTAAGAATAATCTTTGAAATACATAGGTAGTTAGTTGTAGTTTCTACTCAGTGGTCTCTCGTAAATGAGGCAGACCCGTAGTACTGAAATCCTTGGTACGCCACTGGTAACGACCATAAGAAAATGATATAATTGGTACATCAGGTGTTAACTAAACCGTTTGATTTAACCAGCCACCAGATACCTACCCAGTGTCTCCCCTTAATTTGTGAAATTGCACAAGGTATTTGTACAATACCGTAATGCTGCGAGTAGGTGTCCTACGCCACTGATTTGAAGAATGCATAATTCATTATTCATTAGAAAATTGGAACGAATAGCGGGAATATGTAATGTGTCGATAGATCTGGATCACGGACCATCAGAACTCAAATATAATATTATATTATATATCGATCGTGTACTACTCTGTAGTATTCGTTCTTATTAAATTATATAAGTAATCAAAAAATAATAATATTTACTCTCTTGATGTGGAGGTCTCTGAGTTTCTTCAAACGATCGGCTTGTTTCGCTTCGACGGCTTGGCTCATGGCTGAAAATTGAGATATGTATTATGTTTATGCTCGGTGCAGTGTCTGTTACGGACTAAGCAATAATATTATATTATTACTCATAGTAATCTATTATCGCGCGACAGTATTATTATGCTTACTCGAAGGCACGTCCCGGTTTACAGTATATTGTATTTTGGATTTTATAAAATAATAGGTATGTCGTCGACGCGTCGTAGAGTAATCGGTAAATGCTCGTTGATTAATGTTTATTCTGTGATAGGCACAACACTACGGACGATGGAATAACCTACTTCAAAAAATAAATAATGAATTATCATATTACAGAGATATTATTGTGTTGATGTTTATAATAATTTATTGTTTTACGTAATAATAATAGTACTAACTGTTCAGTGCGGAGAGTGTCGAGCGGACTGTTATCTTTTCGTTTCGTAACAACAATGGAAAGGCCGTCTGTGCTTATCATACGGGAACGAAATATTTTGAGGTTATAGAGTTCTTAACACAAATATACAAATATACAACCATGTAAACAATTTTATTCAAAGTGAACTGCCCGTCTACCGGGTTTATCTATGGTGATTATTGTATATTATAGTCACGGACTAAGATATAATGGACTGGAAACGACATGGTCGGCGGGGATCGGGGGACGCCCACGAAAAGATGTCACTTAGCTGATAAGAATACTGTTCTTGAAGTTTTCAGCGCTACCGGTGGTTTTATTTGGCTACACAATTTGTATATTAGTCCGTGTTAAATACAGAGGGCGCTGTGAACTCCAAGAACAGATAGCGACCCCCCGCACTTTGCCTCTTGTACATACATTCGTGGCCATGATAAGCTGCTCGTTTCCAGTCCATTATATCTTAGTCCGTGATTATAGTTTATGATGATGATAAGACCTCTGCCAGAATGAGAGATAACGATAAAAAACCACAGACTGAATAAAATATATTATACTACGCTGGATAAGGAACTCCTTTACAATTTACATTGTGACAAGCCGAGCTTAGCTTTGGACTGCCGCCATTTTGCCGGTTGGCAAAACATTTCATTTATTATACGAAATGTATTGGGAATAATATTTTTATTTTTTCAAACAACATGTTTAGAAATAATAAAATACGATGTAAAATAAATCATAATATCATCTTGTTTGTAATATGAAATGCCATACAATTGCCAACCGACCTTGAAGCTTCAATTCATGGGTAAGTTCGCTATCTAGCGTAAAAAACAGTCTTTCTCTCTTCTCCGGCACACTTTCCTCTTTATTGACACAGAACAGATGAAATTTCATGACGTATTCTGTGTTATTAATGATGTCATGGCCATGACATATATTATACTGTTATGGCCTATGCCATTCTTCGATGTTCCATAAACACTATTATCAAAAAGATGTTATCAGTGCAGCCATTTTGATAAGTTTATCGGATATATTAAATCTGTTAATCAAACGATAACGCAAACAACAAAACAACTCACAACAAATTTATTACTGTTAAGACGTTTTCCTTTTCTCATTAATTATTGTCGTCCGCGAAATCGATATAATCTTTTAAATTCAAATGATTTTCACGAATTCGAACGTATTGCGCGTAGGACGTCGCGACGTTTCAAGTCGATGGCGAACGCCGTCGTAGTCGTCGTCGTCGTCGTCGTCGTCTAGAAAATGATATCCCGTCAAATCCGATGGCAAATTTATTTTTGAAGTCAACGTTATGACTGTAAGTACCTTCCTGTTCACACGGGAAAACATATGTTCCACTTTTACACAATGCTCGTCATTACTCGACAGTTAATTATTAATTAGTAGCTCTACCATGTTGGTCGGTGGCCTAAGCCCAACTAGGATTTACAAGGCCCGTAGCAAAATAAAACAAAACTAGTAGGCTCTACCTAATTGTTTATTAAATTTACGGACGACGTCCTTTTAATAGTACGATCAAGTAACAGATGTGATGTTTCAATGATCCGATTATTTATTTTCAATGTTCTAATATACGGCCAGTACATTTTGTTTCAATAACGTGATTTTATCAATTATCCGCGTACCTAATAAGCGGCTTCTACTTTGATATTATATTTTTTTGTAATAGCAAAATATTCATAGAATTTATTTGAAAAAAAAACTGTTAAAAATGATTTAAAAATTATAATTTACATGTACGTTACTAGGATAACGTATAGGTATACACTAGGTAGGTAAATTATGTTATTTGTTTATTTGTCGTGTGATCAACTCCGTTAATAACCCTTACAAAATGTAGATACAACAAAAAATAAGACAACAGTCGAGCTACAAATACAAATACCTAATAATTACACAACATTTTGATAATATTTTACAATTGAGTGTAAAGACTAAAAAATAAAAATAATAAATATAATAATAGGTAATACAAAACTTAAATGATGTTTTAACAATTTAATGTATAGTAATAATAATAAAATATAGACAACTCACACCAATGGGACATTTTTAGTTATAATAAAGTATTAAATTAAATGATTTAATATATTATTATAAGAAAATCTAATTTGTGGGAGATTTTATTGGCTATAATACCTACATAAGTTAGGTATACCATAAAATTGCTTCTTTCTAGCTTTTGTATCTTCAAATTCAAATACATCAATCTATTCAACAAAATTCATCTTCCTAGCTGTTTCTTGTTCAATTTAAAGTAATGCTAAGTTTCTGGCACTTGTTAATCTCAATATTTTATCCATAGAACATAGGTACGAGGTATTATAATTGTAATAGTGAAAATCATAAATTTTAATTATTATAGTTACATCAATTCACAACAAGAAAACAATTTTTATACCTAACATTAAAATAAAATAGTAATTTATTTACTAGTATTATTGACATTTTTTTTCTTTATAGTTTAAATATTTTTTTGTTGTATACTCCTAGGCTCATAGCCATTTGCCCATCATGCCACCCTACTGTTACGCCACTGATGTTGATGATTAATCATATGGAATTTCTCTCACCCAATCACTTATCGACGTATAATATTTATTTGCAATGTTTTCTATATTAGTCTCTTCATGCAATCAACACCTATTCACTACTGTTATTGAATTAACAATGAGCGGAGTGCAGTTCAGGGAAATCCACAAAAACTCGTGGTTGAGAAAACTACCAGCTGGAATTGACAAAAAGTCTGCTCTGAAACTCACTGGTGGACAAAAACTATGGACTGTTTTTTGTATACACGACGACACAGAACCAGTGTTAGAATTTTATGTAGACCAAAAGAAAGCAGCTGCACATCGTCCAGATAATACCGTACCACTATCAGATACCGTCCATGTTTCTGCTACTATATGTCCATTACCAGTGATGGCGGGTGATCATCAACAACAGTACCAATATGAATTTGTAATAACCCTCACTTCAGATGTAATACGTTTAGCTGCTCCTTCATGGTTAGTATGTGGTGGTTGTTGTTCACTATTTGTATAATAATATATTTTACCTTTACAGGAATCAGATGATGGATTGGGTTCAAGGTTTGGATATGAAATTGCGTGAAATGCATATATTGTCACCAAAAGAAAATGTCTATACTAAACCACCAGAGTCTAGACCCCCTCTATTACCGACTAGAGATCCTAACTCTCCACTGCCTCCTCCACCGTTACGTGATTTGTCAACAAATGTTTTACCTGGTGTTGAACCAGTTGTCTCAGTAGTTCAATCAATAGGTGTGGCTATCCCTAAAATGTTTAACAAACATTTTTATTTAAATTAATATTATTATTTGGTTGTCAGGTACAGATGATGGTCTTTCTTCAGAAATTGAACAAACTTTTTTAACTCCACCTATTAGCCCTAATCCAATGTGAGTAAATATTCAATTTTGTAACAAAAAAATAATACCTAAATATTTTTTTTCAATTTGTTTATTTATAAATCATAAATTTATTTGTTTTAGAAGTCCTAGTGAACCAGTAAATAATGTTACCATTGTAGAAGTTATAAATCATAATCAAGTATTCAATTTTAATCAAATGGAACAAGTTTTGAACCAAACAAATGAGCAACCATCTCAAACATCATCTGAACCATTAATTAATTCTCCTAGGCCTAGTAGATCTTCAAGTTCTACATCTGAAAATGTTGCTGCTTCTCCAAGACAGTCTAGTAGACACCATCAAGTTCGGAATGCATCAATTTTAGAAGAATCTGCTAGTGGCGCTAGGTCTAGCAGTCATTCAGAATTTAGTGATAGAACAACACATGTTGAAGATATGCCACAAAGATCTACAAGTGAAGTGCCAAATGAAAGTCAACGAATTAAAGTCAGAATTGCTGAACCAGAAAATGGTTGGCATAGAAGAAGGCCAAAGAGACAAGATTTTATACCTCCGACAACTGATCAAGATATAACTAGTAATTATGAACATTTAATATTACCTACCGCTATGCAGTCTAGACCACCACCGGCTTTATCCAATTCAATACCTGCAGATATTGCAATATTACCAACAAGATCTCAAGTAAAGTTGATCTACTTTTGAAATTTAACACAAATTGTAATAAAATGGTTTTTTTTTTTAGCTACCAATTGGTCGAGGTCGTGGCGCTCGTCGAAAAGTTAATGGTGACAGTTCACATCCTGCATTAGGAGCTGATAGAATCCGTGTAGCAGTAAATAGTAGCACACACAATATGTTACAGCCAGTTCCAACACCGTTTACCCCCGTAAGCTGTTTGTGAATCCAACAATGTATACTATCATTATATGATAACTTAATCTTTTTATCTGATTAATGTAGACAGAAAACAGAGATTTATTCAGTCCTAGTAGATTAACTGTTCGTGAAAAGCAAGTCCTACAACTACGAAAAGAAATGTCCCATCTTGCAGGCGTACGGTTACAATTGAGACGTAAAGATTGTATTAATACTATTGCTTTGGTTGATGTCTTTCAAACTGTTTGGATTGCTGGATGGAAACAGAAAGAACATCCAATGTTACATAATGCCTTACA